TGTGTGTGAGGCGAGAAGTGGTGGAAGACACTTTGCAGCTTTGAATGAGTGTGTTGGATTGCCTGCAAGCAACCATGCATGAGTCGTGGTCTTTCACTCCTCCGCACACTCGCTAACGCGCCCTTGTTGTCCCATGACCATATCCACACACACACACACACACACACACACACACACACACAAACACACACACACACACACACACACACACACACACACACACACACATTGAAATAGTTCCGTGTGGCGACCTGTGCTATGACCAGGTGGCTGACGCCGTGATTGAGTTTGAGGAGGCCGTGGCGCAGGAGTCGCTGGAGCTGGATGCCATCGACCTGCCAGCGGCCGAGGCATACACGAGCTTCGACGACGCCTTTCAGGACCAGCGCAACCTCATCCAGGAGCAAGGCGATGTGCTGGGGACCTTCACCGACCGCCACACCAGCCTCCTCGACCAGCTGCAGAGCATGCAGGCGACGATGCAATTCTTCTCGGAGTCCCGCCTGGCGCAGGCGCAGGTGCTGCTCTCCGACGCCAACGAGCTGCAGGCGCAGATCAACGCACGCATCGATGCCATCGCCCCTACCCTCAATGCCATCATGTCGGATGTGTCGCGCGCCTCCAGCCGCGAGGTCCGCGCAGAGGATTTCCGCGACGCCGCAAACGCCATCGTCGCCGCTTCCACCTCGGACCTGGCAGACATCCAAACAATGCACCCGCAGGTGAACGAGACGCTGTCAACGGCGCTGTCCATTCACGCGGAAGCTCAGGCTGCGGACGACTGTGTGCAGGAGGGCGTGGCGTCCGCCACAGACCTCCACGATTCCCTGCGCTCCCAGGTATCCTCGCTTGCGTCCCACGTGTCGCTCGCCCAGCAGGACCGCCAAGAGGCCCAGGAGGAGGCCCTTCTCCTCCAATCCCGCCTCGACGACATGACCTCCGAGGTGTGTCTGTGTGTCTGCGTGTCTGTGTGTGTGTGTGTGTGTGTGTGTGTGTGTGTTTGTTTGCGTGTCTGTATTTGCCTCCATGTCTCTGTATGCGTGCGTCTGTGCTGGATCTTCATTCTTTCGTTTCCATTGTCTTGCTGTCTGTCTGTGCTGGGTGCTCTGACTGTCGTTTGCATCCCTGGCATGCGCCCGCATGTTTATTTGTTTGTTTCAACACTCACGCCACCACCGCCATCTTTTTTTTTTTTTTTTGAAGGTGTCGATGGCGACCAGCAACGCCAACCGCCTCGCTGGCGTGAGCACAGATACGACGAGCGAGAGCAGCCGTCTGTCTGCCGCCACGTCCGCCAACAACGCGCAGGAAGTGGTCCCCCTTGATGGCGACTTGTCCTCGGAGATGTCCACGCTCTCTGCGGCGCAAGACGAGTTGGGCGAGCTGTCTTCGCAAGTCAGTGCTGCGCTCTCCACCACCGCGTCTCACACGGCACAGATTCAAGCAAACACGCAGCTTGCCAGCACCGCAGTGGCGCAGGTACGATGACATGTGCATGCGTGCGTGTGTTTGTTTGTGTTTGTCTGTGTGTGTGTTTGTGTTTGTTTGTGTGTGTCTGTGTTTTGTGTATCTGTACCTGTGTCTGTGTGTGTATATGTGTGTGTCTGTGTCTGTGTGTCTGTGTGTCTATGTGTCTCTTTGTGCGGATGTGTGGATGTCTTTGTTTGTGGCGACGTTGTAATCGACAGCCTCACGCTTCATCCCCTTTACCATTTTTTACCGCCTTCTCAACACACCCACCCACAACCATGCACACGTGCACAGGTGACCACGCTGGTTGCTGAGGCGAGCCTGCTGCAGGCCATGTGCGACAACGCAACCGATGTCGTTTCGCAGACGGCGGCAAGCGTGTCCGCAGCCACAAGCATTGTCAACGCCAACACAGAACGCCTCAGCGTGGCTTCGACCACCGCTGCCACTGCCGCTTCAAGCCTCAGCGCCGTCTCATCAAAGGTGTGTGTGTGTGCGTGTGTGTGTGTGTGTCTGTGTGTGTGTGTCTGTGTGTGTGTGTGTGTTTGGGGCTCTCCATGGAACTGTTGAGATGCTACTTGTGATATCAACACCCAAGTTGCTATTGCGGTCCCGTTTCAAAGCGTACCGCGACGCACATTAATGCTCACAAACAATCTTTACACACATGTGCGGTTGTACAGGCCGTTGCGCGTGGTGCGGACCTTGCTGAGCTGCAGGCGGAGCGGATGAACGCGCAGTCGTCACTGTCGAGCGCAATTGCGTCGAGCGAGAGCATCCACGCCCGAATTACGGATGTGCAGGGTGTGGTCAGCGGCAACGAGATGCGCGTTGCGTCCGTGGAGATGAACGCAGCAGCGCGGTCCAGCGAGGTGGCGAGTGCAACCGCAGATGCCGCCGCCACTCTCACGCGCGCAGCGACAGACCAGGCGCAGTGGTGTGCACTCCGCGACGCAGTGCTTGGCGTGCGGTTGGATGTGGGCGAGCTGTCATCAGCTGTTGCGCAATACTCCCAACTGGCCTCTGCCGCCACCGAACAACTCAGGTTTGTGTGTATGTGTTTGTGTGTATGTGTGTGTGTGTCTGTGTTGTCTGTGTCTGTGTCTGTGTCTGTCTGTGTCTGTGTCTGTCTTGTGTCTGTGTGTGTCTGTGTGTTGTCTGTGTGTCTGTGTGTGTTATGTGCTTGCAGTCTTGGCACAACCCCCTTCCCCCGCCCTACCGCAGTCATTTCACTCACATCGACCAACAATGCTCTCTGCGCCATCCCCCTGCGTGCAGCACGCTTGCCTCTGCCCTGGAGGTTGCGGACGGCGTGGTGTCGGCCAATGCTGATGCGCTCTCCACCAACACGGCCGCCCTGTCCGACCGGGAAGCGTCCGTGGTGTCGCTTGAGGACCGTCTGAGTGCTGCTGCCTCCTCCATCCAGTGCCTGCCCAACGTCTGCTTCCTTGACTTCTGAGTTGGAACGAAGAAGCAACATACGTGCCTGTCATTTGTGTGTGTGTGTGTGTGTCCGTGTCCGTGTGTGTGTGTGTTTTGTGTGTTTTGTGTGTTTGTGTTGTGCATGCATACAAGGTTTCCAGCCTTGCGTGTTCGCACCTTCCTATGGCTTCTGCCACAAAGTAAATGCGAGACATGCATGCCTGCAGGCAAACACCCACAAATTCAATCGCTGGTGATAACATGGACAACCAGTCATGCGCCAAACGTCACTTGTAACACACACCCATGTGCCACGCTTGCTCGCACCACACAACGTATCCATGCCATTGACAATAGTTTTTGCAGCTTTGTTGTTTAAAATCGTGTCGAACAAGAAACGTCTCGTTTCGTTCAGCATCACGCACGCGTGACGCTTTTCCTTCACCAAACTCTTGTCATCGTACGCTGCTGCCCTGCGCCACACATGTAATCTCAGCACGACCAACACAAAGCTCACCAGCATAAAATACTGCGTACTGGCCTGGTGTCACGCCTCGAATCACCTGCCCACACTCCACCACCCCGCACAGCCGCCCACGCTGTGCTTGCTCGCGTGTGTCCCGTTCCCACTGCTCCTCGCCAACACATCCATGGCTGGCACCGTACTTCCCGGGCAACGCCCCATCGTTAGCATCCACGGCATCACGCGCATCGCTTGCATCACCGTCGGCGTCGCCACGCACGTGAAGTTTGGCAGCAACAAGCGGTGCTCTGTGCCGTACCCGCACCGTCATTGCACCCCACTGCCAGTGCTCCTGCTGCTCCTGCTGCTCACCGCTACAGCCAACAGCACCACCATGATCATCAGCTGCAAGTGCCTGGCCACTGGCCACCATCGCGGCAACACGTGGCGAGGACCAGGTGAGCTCCCCCACGCCAAACCGCGCGCTGTACAGGAGCGGGTGCTGATCGCCAGGTGCCACATACACCGTGTGCGTGGACATGTCCTTGCCGACGACAAAGTAGGGTTGCGGACACCCGGCGACGCGTGCGCCCTGCCCCATTGTCAGCAGCATCGCAGACTGGCCCTGGCCAACACACGCCCCCGTCTCCACGTCCACAAACTGGCCCGCAAGCGACGCGGCTGTGTACGACGAGAGAAAGTGTGCAAACTTGCGCTTGCCGACAAAGCACATGCCCATGCTCTCCTTCTGCTCCGCCAGCTCTGGGAAGCCGAGGTTGCGTGCATATGCCTTGACGTCTGCCTTGTGCATGTGTCCGATGGGAAACAGGACGTGGGCCAGGCGCTGGCTCGGGGTTCCCGCCAGGAAGTACGTCTGGTCCTTGTGTGCATCCACTGCTCGTCGCAGCAGCGTCACGCCACGTTGGCGCTGCTGCTGTTGTTGTTGCTGTTGTTGTTGCGGCTGCTGCTGCTGTTGTTTTTCTTGGTGCAGATCCTGTGTGTGGAGGCTGTCACTGTTGATGGTGGTGGTGCGGGCATAGTGGCCGGTGGCCACCCAGTCAAAGCCAAGGTTTCTCACGTAGTCGTAGAAGGCATCAAACTTGATGTGCGCATTGCACAGGACATCAGGATTGGGCGTGATGCCGGCCTCATAGGCATGCACAGTCGGCCTGGCAACGTGTTGTTGATGGAAATGTCACAGTGGATACATGCACTGGTGACCTGGAAGGAGGGCGTGCAAGGGAGTGATCACTGCATCAACGGCACAGACACAGGGCCAATACAATGCACTCACACACAATAACTCGCACACACACTCACGTAAACACGTCGTTCCAGTAATCGGCAACGAAATCCACACGCTGGCAAGGGATACTCAGCCTGTTACATATTCTCTGCACGCTGGCATACTCTGCCTCGCTCGTGCAAACATTCCTTTCTTCCTTCTCATCCCAATTCCTCATGAAGAAGCCATGCACGTCCCAGCCTGTGCAGGTGTGTGCGTGTGTGCACATGTGCACATGTGAGTGTGTGCACATGTGTGTGTGTGTGTACATGTGTGGGTATCGCTGTGTGAGACCATTTGCATGACAACACAAGCATGCACAAGCACACATGCACACGCACACATGTACACACGCATAAG